TACAAAGGGAAAAGCCCCACAAATACTTCCATGAAGGCTCCTTTCCTGAGGGTCACGGATATTCCTTTTGTCTCATTGAACTTCTGTAAGGGGAGGTGACCATGCCTCTCTGTGGCGCTGCCTGGCCCCAGTGATGAAGTTCTTGACATCAGAACTAAAAGATTCATCTGTGTTCCTTCTTCAGCCCTCATATCTCACCATTTTGCCCCGAGTTTTCTACTTCAGTGAAAACTGAGGCATCAGAAATTTGCATTTAATGGTTTCCCCCTATTGGGATTTTTTTCAATATGTGAAGAAAATATTGGAAAATAAGCAGATTTTTTTTCAGGGAGTAGGACAATGTTTTTCTCCCCACAGAGGCATGCTGGGGTTTTAAGCTCCAGAATTGTTTCCTGTGCTGCCAGTGCATACATCTCATTCCACTTTTCTGCTGCAGGTAGAGCTGCTCCTGTACTAATTTGCAGCTATGCCCAATCAATATGCAGAGATCTCACCATAGCTGAAGTCTGACATATAGTGAGGATGTCAAAGCCTTCCCTGAAACCATAAAGCCATCTGTAAGTCCAGGCCTAATAAATCTCCTCCCTTTTTCCTCATTTAAATGGTGAACATAAACATGGCTTTGGTTTCCCATTTCCTTTTTTTTTTTTCTTTAAGACTAACTAACTTTACAGTCACTAAGCGTTGTAAGTAGCGATCAAACTCCTGTTCCCATTTATGTAGGCTAAGTAAAACAAAATATTTCTATTTCTGAAGTCCATAGCATTATGAGGAATTGCAAGTCCAGTAGGGTTCTGAGTTGGAGGAAATGGGAAACACTACTTATGCATCTCTTTTATGCATGCCTTTTTTTAGGCCTTATTAACCCTTTCTCTTACTCTAGAAAGCATGAGCAAATCCACATTGGCTGGATATGGTAAAGAAACTTTTTGAACCTTAGATGGTGCAGTTTTTATTAAGAATGGCAAAAAAATGTCTTTCTAATTTATGGATAATTAAAGTCATGCCTGCTCATAGATTGTGATTCCAGGAGGTTAGGACAATAAAAGTCTGAAAAGCATACTTGCAGATTAGGTTGCTTTCAGACTTGCAGACAAGAAATGGATGAATATAATAAGCAGTAAATATATTACAATTAAGTTACACAGGATCAGTCTCAGCCTTGGCACAATTCCACTGCAGTTAATGGAGTTACAAGACAGAGTTCAATGTTTACCCCTTTAAAATCTTGTGTTTTAAAATTGTAGTCTATCTGACCTTCCTCTTTGGCTAACTCTTAGAGGTACCCACATACCATGATGACACTTGACTATGTACAAATACATAGATTGTTGCAATGACAGAAGGAAGACCAGGGATTCATTCCAGCATTAGCGTCTGCCATCTCCAAAATAAATAAAAGCTTTAAAGAAACTCTTCTCCTACCAGACAGAGTTACAACAAACAAAAATTGACCCTGATTTTGAATCTATTCACATAACAATTACTTACTCAGATAGTCTATTAATAAAAACAAAGTTCCAGCAGTGATAATAAGGATTGTTGCAATCTGACACGTGAGAAAGATCCTCCTTTAAAAGACTTTGCACTTATTCAATACAATCTCTTTGTTCTAGAGAACATCTGACTGTCATTCTTATGGGTTTTGCTGAGAGAAGTCTAACACCTTCTTTATAATTTCTTTGAGACAACACATATAAATATATATATTTATGCATAAGCTTTTTTTACAAACTGTAAAATCTTTTCCCTTTTTATTAAAAAATATTCTTATCCAGGGTATATCAAAGATTTGTCATGTATGGTACAAGAATGTGAAGGTAATGTTCTGAATTTTCAGTTTTTCAGTCTGAGTTGACAGACTTCACTCTTTAGGCAAAATGTATTAAATAAAGAACTACAACAACAACAGAACCTCAGAGTTGTTTGCAACAAAGCAGCTCCCTCCCCCCTCCCTGGTGTTACTTAACAGATAGACAGAATAATCTGCTTTATGAAGTGCTTTCCTGAAAGTGTGAAGAAAGCTCTTAGTAACTTCAAAGTCCTCTGCTTTCTGCATTGGGCTTCCACTACACACTGCCTGACCCTGTGACTGACAGTTGTGCCTGTGGCACCACAGGTGGCCAAGCTGCCTGCCTAATGCAGTGCTGGCAATCTCTAATGCTTTTTATCATGTCCATAAAACCAAATTACCTATTGTTTCTAAACAGACATTGCTTGTGTCAGTTGTGACTGGAATTAGTAACTATCGCACATGAATTCATCAGCATCACAAATGTGAAAAATATTGACAAGAAAAGGATTTTTTTGAAGTTGCTGAGGAAATATAACAAAGACAGTGATGGGGATTTTTTATCAATTTGCATATCAGTCCTTAAAAAGATGGCTTTTTCAGAGCTGCACTGTGGCTCTCTCCTGGAAGTGTACCTCACATGTCAAGAAAAAGAAAACAACAATTTTTCTAGAGATTACTCTATATTAATTAATAAAGCAGGACAGTGAGGATAATATCTGATAAGGAACAAACAGGCTAGTGATTTCAAAACCAACAGGTGATTTTGCCATATGTCTTCTATCAAGATAAATATCTCTCCAGAAAATACTGTTGCACTTATTTACTTCCTCTTTTATCTTCCTCCTGCACAAATAAGAAATTGATTCAGAAAAGTGGTAATGGAGTAAACTCTGTTTTGTTTTGGTTTGATTTTTTAATTTTATTTCTTTAATTGTCTACCAGGCTGTTATCAAGTCATTAGAAATGAGCCATTTGTGAGGTAGACACTAATAGGAGAGATTGATTGATTAACATTTATGTGTTGTTCACCCCAGATTACTGAAATGGCTTTTCTGAATAGCTTTCCTAAAGGTCATATAGCCACTGCCTGGCCACAAATCATACATACCAAATTGAAAGATAAAAAGGGCCTTATAAAAGATTTTGAAGTATGGGTCAAAACTGAATTTATTTTGGAAAGCAGGCTTCAGCTTGAACTACTGAGTATGCTCTAGTGCTTCAAGATCTGCCCAAAATTGAGGAGCGATGGGGGAAGTCTTTCTTGGCAGTATAATCTAGTGGTATCTAGTAAAAAACTTTGTGGTTTCCATTACAAAATGTAGTGATTCGTGTCCAAAAACCTTGAATTAAAAGGACTGTTCTGTATCAACGAAGATTTTGAGATCTGCATATTACTTTGTGCAGATCAATAATTTTTTACTTATTTACTTTGTGCATTTAGCAAAGGATTTCAAAAAAGTCTGAGTAAAATTGGTGAGACATTTTTGGCTATAGGCTGCAGGAATACTTTTAGGGCCCTGGTGATAGTCCTTCTAAAAGAATTATGCCTGTATTCATTAAAATATATTAGCAATGATAATTAGTGGAATATTTAAAATCCTGATGTGCAGAAGAGCAAATGCCAACTAGTTACAACTGGAAAAGCCTACTACTTAAGCATTCCCAAAAAGACAGGTTTCCTCTTTGATTTGAGATCTGAATTTGCAGTTTAATTTATAAAAAGAAGTAGACAAACCAACTTTCCCAAACTGTGTATTCTTCCATGCATGAACAGAGGTAATTCCTATTTATAGTACTTGTTCAATACCGAGTACCATTTACAAGTGGAGACGCATGGGAATGCCTTCAGCCAGGAAGTGTGTGTAGCAACAAGCCTCAAATGCTGGTATATATGGTGATATGTCAAAGTACAGGATCACTGTAGGCATAAGCATTGCTTCTGAGATGGAATGTGGGTAATGATGTGGTCAGCTCAGGAAGACTTAATTCTTGTAGGCATGAGACTGGATGAAAATATATGTCTGCATGAGGAGCTGAATGAATATGATTCTATGATTAAGCTTTTTTTTCCCAGAAATTTTAAATTCCATCATCAACACCCTCTCTTTTTTTTCCCTTCCTGTGTTGCTGAAGTCTATATTGCACACTGCTGGGAAAAGAATCAGACTTTTGTGGGTCCACTCCTATCCTATTCACAACAGTTAATTTTTCATGGTGCTTACTGGAATAATCCCAGCTTCGTAAGTTGGATTCATTTAATCAGGTTTTTTACTTTTCTGTGCCAAACTCTAAATGGGTAGAACTTGCCATAGTCTAGTTTTTTTGATTTCCATTTGTTTCTGGGCCTACTCTTGTATTAATATTTGGAAAACTTAAGTATAGGAACGTATGAGAGAATAAGTTTAATTACCATCTCGACATGTCTCCTCATAGTTCATTAGTTAAAGATACTGCTCTTTTAAAGGCATTTTTGTTAAGTGCTCTCTGTTTAGAAATTAACTTTCTGCTCAGATGGATGTAGCAATTATCACATGCCATCATTTTTGGGTTTTTTTAATGGGAGAGTTTTCACCAGAGTTCTTTGGCTGTAGAAATTAAACTTCATGCAAATAGAAGATAAATTTGATTGTAAAGCAAACTGACTATCTTCTCATCTGCAAGACTGTCATACTGATTATGCTGTATTGCAAACTGTGGCTTATGAATAGGTAATGCAAAAATGTATGTACCTTTACAGATAAATAATCTTTCCTGGTGAATTTGAACTGAATTTGAAATACAAGCTTCTCAGAATGCAAGCATTTCCCAATATCCAGCAGTGGTTTGGCCCCAGTCCTTTGGTTTGGGTTCATATAGAAATGAAGTCTCATTGCAAATCTTGAATTTATATTAACCTAGCAGAAGGGCAAGGCAATAACATTTGTTCAGAACTATATCTTTAAGCGGTGTTAACCCATTGTGTTGAACAATGCAGGGCTGATGTCCAGTATATATCTGTCTATTTATAAATAAATTAACAAATGCATGTCAGTACACAACAAATGTTGTGTACTGGGAACCGAGATTTCATTAACTGTAAATTACCTCATTTGATCATAAAAAGATTCTCTGAATTATTGCATAGTATTGGAGAAGATTTTTAGCCTGTTAGTATTGAAATATTTATATAAATAGTAAAACTTTTACCATTCTGTTTTTATGAAAGGAAAATCATTGCAGAAGAATAAAAATCCTAGGAGACTGTTACTACTGTGTATCAGGATTGACCCAGCCCAAAACAGATCATGCCCATTGCTGTGTTGAAATGGGACTGGATATGATTGACACTATCACGTAAGTATCATGCATGGTGAACCCAGACAGGAGTGCTGCAACAGCTACTATGTGGTGTTCAGGAAGTGTGCTCTTAGAAAAACATCAATGTCTGTTAGCACTACTCACCTGGCAAGTCACACTCCTGCACTCAGGCCACAGGACCCTGATTTCAGGAATGGACACTCTAGACATTGATTTTCCACTCCATTTAATCACTATAAGAAGTAAGTGTGCAAATTGAGTATGTAGAGGCACATACATGTACTGAATAGGTGACAAAAAGATAATTAGAAATAAGAAAATATACCCTATTGCCTATTGCCACAATGAAAGGACTCAAATGTGTTGCTTTGCCATGGTAAACACTGCTCATTTTGCACACCGGTATGTAAAGTCAAAACAAGTCCTGATATATGCCCATTGTTTATGACTGTGTTTGCAGTCTCAGAATCATAGCCTGTTGATTATTCAATTTTAATGTAATGTTTAAACCTTTCATTTATTCTGCTTTTCAGAAATGTAACGTGAAATTTACTTTGCTGCTCAGATTTTTGTTTATGCTTGAGAGGTCTACATTGATCATTATTTTACCAAGGCAAAAAATATGGATATGAGAGAAGTGTGAATGAGCATTTAGCAGAAGCTGGAGATCTATTTCATTACATAGGAGGGAAAGGATAAAGATGGAAAATTTCTTCACTACTGTATTGCCCACTTCTTCTTTTCATTTGCTAAACATACAGAGCATGAAAAGCTGGGTAAATTAATTCATTTTCTCCCTTATTCAATGCAAGTTCATCACATTTGTAAGCATTGTAAAATTGACAAAATTCTTTTTAATCTCTTAATCTAGAATTTCTGGTAGTCTATGATAATATAAAATCAAAAAAAAAAAAAGTGTATTCTTTAGCAGTATATGGATTCTCCATTTATAAGGAAGCCCTGACCTTTGGAAACATAATTAGATGTACAGGACTTGTACATATTTTTCAAAAACCTTTTGGTTTGTTTGGGGTTTTTTAAATTCCTGGAAAGAAATAGATGATGCTGTCATTCTCTTTTAAACTAGCATTGATCTTTAATTCATTAGTTGTGCTGTATTTCATGTATACAAATAAGGTATTAGTATAGCTGTTGGAACTTTCCTCTTTAGGATGTTTCAGTTTTACTATTAGAAATGAACATGTTCCCTTTTTAGGGTATATTTTATTGGCTACTGACATGATAATGTAAACTTGGAAAAGGAGTTGAATTAGAAAAGAATGAACTGGGGCTGTTCAGTGTGTAGAAGAGAAGGTTCAGAGGAGTTCTTATCAATGCAGACAAATACCTAGAGTGAGGGAGTAAAGAGGACTAAGCCAAACTTTTCTCAGTGACATCCAGCACCAGCACGAGAGGAAATGGGCACAAACCGATGTGTAAGAAATTAAATTTCATTAGAAGAAAAACTTTTTTTTTTACTGTGCAGGTAGTCAGATACTCGAGAGGTTCCACTGAAAAGTTGTGGCATTTATGCCCTTGGAGAGGTTTAAACCAAGCTGGGCAACAGTTCTGGACACCCTTCCATAGCTGGCTGTTCTCTGAGCAAGTATGTTGGTCTAGATGATTTCCAGAGCCCCTTGCAGCATCAGCAACTTTGCAATTTTATGTGGATGAGCTGTAGTATGCTATCTAGGCATGTTTAGTCACAGGTTATAGTAGAAGATAACTGGCCATTTCAGATTTAATTTTTTAAAGAATTCATAAATTTTAGGTCCTTTGTGTAGTTAGTTGTCAGAGCATGGAGGAGAGCAAGATGGGCAAGAGGTAAGGTTTCAAGATAATGCCAGATCTACTTAAAGTTGTTTGATGGCTAGGGATATATTCTGCATTCTTTGTGCATAAGCACAATTAGTCTCTTTCCTTCCCAGAAACTGAAGTTAGAGATAGATTCCCCAGACTAATTTGTTTTACGATGTGTTTAGTAAATGAAAAAGAGAAATCAGGAGCTTCTGACAATGAAGTTGGAAAGCATTTTATATTGTATTGGTATGATTATTAAGCTTTGTTTATCAGTTCCATGAGATAGAAAGTCACATGCAGAGGTGGATGCCAGCTGGAAGTCTTTTTAAAGTCCATTCACTTTATCATAAAATTCAGGTCTTGGCATTATAAATTTATGCTTGGAATTTGTCATCCCTAGTGATAAGTTTGTCATGTTATCTGGGATGAATTAATAAATAAATAAAATCACTTGAACTGTGATTCATAGGATGGATCTGTCAAAAATGTCCATTCCAGAGATATGTACTAACAAGAGATGGGTTCTTTTTCTGGAAAATCAAGGAATAGAAACTTCCATGGCTGACTGTTGGTTCTGTGATGAATGTATTCACATAAACTGATACATTTCATTCTCTTAATGTTCTGCATAACTGTTATCCTTCAATATGGTGCTGAATGTGTCATCTGAGAACATAATTTTCAAAGTATCATAAAATAATTATAATTTTCACATTTCATCCACCTTCCTCAAAGTGTTTTCTTGAAGGGAACAGAACCAAAATAATTATGGGAGAAGCTTTTTATTCTTAAAAACTGACAAAACAGATAGTGTTATATTCTGATTTTATTCCAAAAAAACTTCTGCAACCATTGTGTCAGTGCCTCAGTACAGGCCAGGTTTGTTCTACTTTAGAGTCACTTAAAGTGCCACGGCAATGAGTGAAGTGCTCAATACCACCAATGTTGCTTATACCATAGGAGTTTTGACCGTCATGCTTTTGCTAGTAATATAATTAAAATGATCATATTCATTAGTGCCTCTAATATGTCATGTATTTTTCTAATGTGGCCTATGTCTTCACCTTTATGAACATTATGTTAGGCCAAGTCTCTCTTCACCTTACTTAAATTGATTGCCACATTTGAAATTTCATTCTCATATACTACAGTGTTTTACCTTCTAAATAGATATATTTGTTAGCTAACTGCCATGTAGAAAAGTTATGCCCAGCTAACAAAGGTCTTTCCCTCCTTTTCTCCTCCAAAAACTGTCTAGAGTTCTGTTTTAAGCAAGTGTTATGGGGGAAATTTTACACATTCTTCCTAGTTTTGGCTTTCCTTAGACAGCACTTCATCTGTAGACACAAATTGTATTAAACAATTCTTTGGCTCAGTACAGCAACTCCTCTTTGGAGATGAAATGTGGTGAAATGACACACCTATTTACCTGCATTCAGTAATGTTGCAGAGCAAGAGGTAATCTGTAATGTTTCCAATTGAAAATAAAGAGAGATTCTGAGTGAGTAGTATGTAAATACTATATTTTGGACTGGATCAAAATACTCAGGTTAACATTCATAAACTCTTCAAAACTTTAATGGAATCCGTCGTCATTCCTGTTGTCACATAGACAGTACATTTTGATGATGCTTCTTCTGTTAACATGTTACTAGGATGCCATTTTAGTACTGACTCAGTGGGAATTGCATCATTAGCTGCATCACTGACTGTGTGTAGTAGCAGGGAGCATGGCACTGCAGGAGCACATCTGTGGATCACAGCAACTGCTGCTGACTGTTTTAGTCCAACCTACAATACTGTGGTGAGGAGGGGAAGGTTACTTTAGAATAAGTCTCATCTGATGTTCTGATTGAATGTTGTTGCTGCTTGTGGGCTTTGAAGAGGTCTGAAGGAAAATGAAGTCCATGAACTTTTACTTCTTGAGAACTGGGCAATCCAGTGGGGTTTATCAGCTATTTTCTGTGACACATAGGTGATTTTATCCTGAATGGATCATTCCACCTAATGTGAATGACTCCACCAGTCATCATGTAAAATCTCACAGATGGAAGCTGGGCAAATTTGCATCTAGGGAGGTTTTTGCACTGGAAAGGTTGATACTTGAACTGTCCCCTTTTAATGGGTTTGGCCATTGGCTGACCAAAAGCACCAGGAAAGGGAGAAGAACTATAGAAGCCCATTTGCATAAGTCAAATGGAAATATCAAGATTTCCTGTGTGATTTTTGTCTGAGGAAATAGACAGAACCATTAACTTCCCTAATGTCAACACTCTTGAAGCTTTTCCCCTGCTCATCCAAAAGTCCAGGGCCTAGAAATGTTTGAACTGGCAGGAGTGAATTGATGTCAAGTTTTTAGAGAACCAGCAGCTGCATTTTTAAGCTGTCTACCAGTGGTAAAAGCTTCATCAGCTTGCACCTTTGCCAGAGCAAGCCAGCAGCCCTTCAACAGCCCTGTCTCTCTGTCCTAGTGCTCTGCAGCAGCTGAGCAATACTCTGGGGAAGTCTAGGTAATTGAAGCAAAAATTATATCTATGCCTTTAAGCAGGAAACATTAATTTCTGCTGATATATTTAGACCTAAGGAAAAGACCTAAGTAATTATAAGAAATGGCATGCAGAGTTTTTTTGTTTCAAACAAAATGCTCAGGAGCACAGGTCTGAAGCTGTTCTGCAGGCAATCTAAATTAATTTCATGCCTTGTAGCAGCACATCAAATACTTGTAGTTAAGGAGGGAACTAAAATTTAAAGGCTTTGTAGGATACTTGAGCTGTCAGGGTAGATGCTTTTCTTATTAGTCAGTTCCTTAGATTCTGAACACAATTGGTTTAAAAAGAAAATGGTTTTTTGATTTCCATTTGTTTTTGGGCCTACTCTTGTGTTAACATTTGGAAAACTTAAGTATAGGAACAATGAGAGAATAAGTTATAATTAATAATTTATTTGAGAAACTCCTTTTTCCTGTTCCTAGCTGGTTTGTGAAGTGCTGATATTGTCTCAGAAATGTATTTATAATTTAAAATACCTTACTGGACATTTTTGTGATATTTTATGGTAGAAATGTTGATGCTATTTAGAAACATGGTCATTTTACTGCTCTGAATTTCAATTTGAAGCCTCTTCTTTAAATATTACCTAATATTCCTTATTTCTGATAGTTCAGTGGGGTTTATTTATGGAAATTATCTGCATAAAGAGCACAAAGGTCTACAAGATAAACTCAAAAAATGTAATGACCTTCTCATGAGCTTTTTTTTCCTACTCAAATTTAATAATGATGAAAGCATCTCTGAAACACATTGTACCTTCTGGGGAAGATGTAGAAATGTATTCTCAGTTTATATTTTTGACTAAGTGAGTATTTATGGAAAGTTTTTGCTCAAAACATAAATTTCTTTCAGGTTCTGCTTTATGGTTCATTGGTGCATTATACAGTTCAGCTTATTGAACAAGAAGTATGATCAGCCATGTTCTATTTCTCAACTCATATTTTTTCATTTACTTTTTGTTATTCTATTAACATTTCTAAAAGGAGACTAAATTTACTCCAGTCAGACAAAGCAATGTCAAAGCCTTGAGTGAACTTTATCCATGTCTGGATTTCACTGTCTTTCCACATACATTTAGTCTGAGGTTTTTGGTTTTTTTTTTCAATGGAGGAGAAGGGAACCAACAAACAAAAAACTCACACTCATTTGTGAACAGAGAAACCCAAACATTTGCGGGTTTATTAATTATTACATAGGTTCTTAATTATGCAGGAGAACATAGGCAGACAAGGTGTAATCCTGAAGGGCTTTATCTTGCAAGGTGTGGGCTTGGTGTAAGGTCAATCTGTTAATGACACAATACACATGCTCAGGTGAACATACAAAGTGCAGTCGCTTGTTGTTAGGTGGCTTATGGTATTAGGGTCCTTCATTTCCTCAAAGATCTGTCAAATCATGTGCACAACAAAGCATTGTAACACTAGAATCCTTTTAGGACTCCTTGAAGTCATATTCAAGGCTTGACTGGGAACAGATACTGAGTGAGGAAGAGCTGACTTGCAGTGAGTAGGAATAGGAAAAGGAAATGTTTAATCTTTCAGAAAGCTGTGCATAAGCCTTTCTATGCTGTTGCATAGAATATGACTGAAAAATATGTTATGCCAAGATTCCCTGTGGAGATAAAAGAGATCTCCATGTTACTGACATTAGTGATGGCTGACATGGAATGTAGCTTCATAGGTGAAGGGTTTCTTATTTAAATTGAAGCCAAGTATCTTTGCTGCACATCCCACATCTTGATCTATGCTGACCTTTTTGTTAATTTTATTTAAACAAGTACAACTTCTGAAATAGTTGAAAAATCTTTCTAAAGGCATCTCTGTAAAATCCAGTGTAACTGGATGACACTTGAAAAAAAAAATGGTCAATGAAGGCCAAGGGGAAATGATAGCTAGAGTTCTATTTTAAGGTCTTGTTCTATTAAATGCATTGGAAAATTCAAATTAGGAAAGTCAAATAAAAATAAATTCTTACAGTGATAGTCAGTTTCCTTTATTCAGAGATAGTATCACTTTCTGGACAGTAACTGCACTGTGGAATGACAGGTGTTTGTCTAACAGAAAGACCTGAAAAAAATCTATTTACAGTGTTATTAAATAACATGTAGTATTTAAGACTCTTTGTTTCAAAGTGCCTTTTCAGTGTTCACAACTTTGTGCAGAGTGCAAGTCATAGCATGCTCTTCATTCACAGAAATGAAGAATCTTTCCTTATTGTGGCACAAAAAAAATATTCTTTTAATAAAAATTTTGCAGATTAATTCATCCTTTACCAGCTATACAGTGAAAATCTCTGAACATTAGATTTCATTTACAGGTGCAAGACTAGTCACAAGTTGTTTCAGTGCCACTCTTATGGGAGCTTTGGAATGATATTAGTGTTTGTAATCACTCTGCTGTTCTTACAATGATTTATTACTTTTGTCATTTTCTTCGTCCTGTACTCTAGTAACTGGGTAATTGAACGAATTAGAACATAGTAGATTGGAAATAATTATTTATACATTGACAATCTCAATTAGTGCTTCTTTTCTCACAGAAATGGTCAAGAAATTTAGAAATACTGATATTTTGGTTCAACAGTAATTAAAATATAACAAATATTTTTTTTTTTGGAATTGCAATTAAGGCTTTGAAACTAGTGAAGGTAGAGAAGAGTACTGGAATATACCATTTCAGGTTTATAAGACCCTTTCTATTTGGTCATGTATAAATATATGTGTTAATTTTGGGAGAAGAGAAAATGAAAAGCAGTCATCATCTAAATAATAATTCTGATGCTGTCCATTACAGATCTGTTGCAGAAGCCACAGAGGTTGATCTCAACATGAGAGTTGGATTGCATACAGGCAGGGTGCTTTGTGGGGTCCTGGGTCTCCGAAAATGGCAATATGATGTCTGGTCAAATGATGTGACATTAGCTAATGTAATGGAAGCTGGAGGACTGCCTGGGTAAGTCTGAAAAAAGAAGTAGGAAAAAAAATAGAAAACTCTATGGGTGAAGAATTTCTTCCATTTTTTAAGGCATTTTCAAGGTAATTGCTGTTGAGGAAAAGGATTGTATTTAGCAGGAGCAATCAATATAATATGTGATTTATCCTGTGGAATTTTCCAAATGATCTTGATATTTGCATAAGTAATATGTTAGATTAGAAGTAAAACATTTTAAAACAAAATTGTTTTTAGAAGTTGCCGAATCTAAAAAGTAGGAATGAGACAATATTAGGAATGTAAGAATGCTAGACTTTGATCATTTCATGTTACAAAAGTAAAACCCTGTAGCCATTCCAGGAATTTTTTACCCTTACACACCTCTATACTATGAGGGGGGAGGGGGATGCCTTGCTCCTTTTACATGGCCAGATTTCCAACACTAGTTGTATGGTACAGAAAAGACATAACAGTTTCTGAACTCAGATATTGATGACATTTGCAAATGATACAGTAGCACATAAACCTGCAGCCAACCCATGGGGCATGTCCTGGAACTTGAAGTACTCATTGCACAGCCTTGGTCACAATTTAAATACACACAGTGAACATTTGCAAATGTGCATGGGTGTTCTGTGTGTAGCTCACATTTGGACTAGGACCTGCCATACTGTTTTTGATTTTTGCAAGATCTTGATTACTATATAAAGGACAAAGGAACCAATTAATTTTTTTTGTGATAATGATAAATTTTTATTTATTATATACATCTACTTTAGATAATTTTGGCAGCATATTTTATACATTATCTTAAAGTTACCCAGTGAAAAAAAATCTGAACACATGTTTATAGAGGAAAGCAGTAAAATTTTTTCAGATACCTTTTCTGAAGACATTTCAAATATATGGGGTCTTTCAGGAGAAAATGTGAGAACTTTTTCAGGATAAGAAAACTCAAAAATAATATTAAAGGTTGGTGTATTGCCAAAACAAAATGAGTCAGAAAGCTGCCTCTGAAACAGAGTGGATGAATAATATGAGTCAGAGATGTGAAGTGAAACAGAAAAAGAAGTTTCTGCTTTACACACAAGAGAGGTTTGGAGTGTGATGTCACAAGTTTCAAACAGCAGGATGTTTTTCCAAGCAGCCATTGAGGTAAAAACTTAAGAAGGCCACACGATGTAGAAGATCATGTGCAGACACTCTACAAAACAGCAAATCTGCAAGTGTTTGGATAGTCAACAGTTGTCTTTTTGTTCACTTTGCCTAAGTTTAGAAAATGCATGTAATAGAATTTTTTTCCATGCTCAATTTGGCTAAAAGTACAAAACATAACTTTTTTTTTTTTCATCAAACCTATGGTCTTGCATGTAAATTGACCTCTTGATCTCTTTATGACCTTCTGTACAGGAGTGTATTTTGGTAGCAAGAAGCTCATAATCTTTGCTTTAAACAATAATGTCTAATTTTCTCTCTAGGAAAGTTCACATTACAAAGACCACCTTAGAGTGCCTAAATGGGGACTACGAGGTAGAACCAGGATACGGTCATGAAAGGAATAGTTTCTTGAAGAAGCATAATATTGAAACATATTTTATTGTGCCATCCCATCGTAGGAAGGTATGCCTATTGAGTGATATGTTTTCATAATTTAAAAACTGTTCTGTGCTATTCTGAAAGCAGAGACAATGCTAGGTTGTTTTGTTGTTTGCTTTTTTTTTTCCTGAAAGCTCTTCAAACATTATTGAAGGCTCAGCAGTTACCATTTACTCAAAATGGTAACATTTTGAATCTCAGCATGTGGTGAGGTGATGACAGTGGTTTTCCAACAGCGCGACTACAAGTCACATCTTTCCTCTTCAACTGGTTACTGAGCACAGTCTTTTGTTCTACTGAAAAATGTGTCTTGTGAATGCAGTAGGAGTCTTGAAAGTCCATAACTGTTGTTTAAACATTTTCAATTTGGTAAACCTTTTCTACATCACCAGGCTTATACTTGAAGTTATCTATCATAACATGATAACAGGCCAAGAGAAACTTTATTGCCTTTTATGTCAGCCAGAGAATTTGGGATACAGATTTTTGCACCCTTATCTTCTGAAACTCTGTGCAAATAAGTTTAATTCAGGGATTTTAACCTTCAAGGGGAAAATTATTTTACCCAATTCTGAAAGTATTGGTCAGGTTTTAAAGTGACGTCTTTATACACACCAGGTTTTTAAGCTATCAGAACTCCATATTTGAGGGTTTTAACCATCAAGTGTCTGAGAAAAACATAACCACAAAGAAACAGGTCATCTTGAATTTCCTATCTCCAATCAGTTTTTTGGCCTTAATTTGATGACTATCTGAGTTTTTATGAAAATGTTGGGAGTCCAGTCACCAGGATAATTTGATTCTGGGATTGAAAATGCCATTGTTTTATTCTGGAAAGGCTGCTGCAAGAGTGATTTTATGTACTTCCTCTGAAGCATCTTCTTATTAGAGAGATGGAGTTTTCTCATGCACTATGAAAATCATGCAATTTCACATTTTGTTCCTCTGGTATATATGATTAAATTCAGTTTTAGATAATATGAAAGAAAACAGTTGGAAAACCAACTGTGGTTTAAATTCTGTTTGGGCAGTCAGTGAGATTGGTTTTTGGTGGCTTTCTTGAAATCAGTACTAGCATTTTTTAGGAAATCAGTATTTCCTAAATTAATCAATCCAAATAAGGAAGAAAATGAAAGGAAGAGTTTATTCAAGGTAGGTGTGTTGCTTATTGCTGTTAGATTGTATTAGTTTTCTGTTGTTTTCAATCCTTCAGCATTATGTATAATTTCATTTTTATATAATAATTTATCAGGTTTCATTTCATATTAAGGAAATAAATAGTAGAATTTCAGGAAATTGTTCCATTTATTGGTGCAAAAAGACAAGGAGAGACAAAAGGGAATTAGTATGACTTTTACATAGAAAAACAATTCTGCTACAAAAAACAGTGACTGAGGAACAGAAGCTTGACAATCACATATGGAAGGAAGCCAGGTCAATGCATGTTTAATGTGCAAGAGTGAGAGTGTACTGCTGTGAGAGCACACATTTCTTTGTCTTCGCAAGATTGGTGAGAAACTGCTGGTGATTGGTGGGAAAGGACTGCTTGGTTTGTCATCAGCTATATAAACCCAGATGCCATCTTACCCATGGGTGTCACTGAAGAGTCTGTGGAAATGGCAGAGGCTGCTCCACAGCTTGGCTAACATTAGCTGTCCAGCATGCATCAATGGCGTGTCAGCCATGAAAGAACCCTTCATGAATTTTACTGGTGTTGACTGGTTTTTCCACTGGGCTCACAGGTCAATCAGCATGCCACTTTGCTGTTTGTCACAGTCCATCACAGCTATGCCCAGTCTTTGTACACTTGCATACTGATCACTGACCACAAGCTACATAATAGCATATTTGCCTTCTAAATAAACACCTGCTGTTCCCTCCTAGCCCAATTCATTCACTACCTCTTTAGAGACATAAAAATAGATGGCTACCCATGAAGCACAGGCAAGACAGAGTTTCACCTGGCGAATGTAGGTATCTTCCGGTTTAATATTGCATTCCTTCCTCTTGAACCTCGGCAGCTGAAATGCAGTTTTTATTATATATCATCTCTGACATTAACATGAGCTGACTCAGGCAGGTATGATACCAAGTGGAATGAAAATCAATGTTATGAGCAACAGATGACCAAGAATACGTTGAATTTGAAGCAAAAATACGACCACTTGGAGTTTTGTTAAACATTATCTGTTCAGAAGACACATGCCCCACATTCTTCTATATTTGGTCTGACAGGAAAATTTTTCATCACTGTCACTCTAGCCAAGAATGATAATAACAGTGTAACATGACTCATTCATGTACCAGTTACATTTTAAATATGAACAAATTATAAATTATTCCCATCTTTTAAATCTTCCGTTGAATTAGCTAACTTTTGTGATCTGATCTGCTTGCTAGTTTAGTGTGAGAGCACCACTAAGCAGCCACTGAAGGAATAATTTTTTTTTTGTTTTGTTACAGTTTTTATTTTGGTAAAGAATATATTAGTCTGTTATTATCTATTAGTCTATGCAGTCAACAGCTTATTGTCCACCTGGAGACCAGTGAAAAATGGTGTCCCATAGTGGTCAATGGTGAGGCCAATACTGTTCAACATCCTTGTCAATGACCTGGAAAGTGCACCTCCAGCAAGTTTGCTGATAACACCAAGCTGTGTAGAGAGAGTCAACACACTGGAAGGAAGGGATGCCATCTAGAGGGACCTGGGCAGGCTTGAGAGGTGGGGCTGTGTGAACCTCATGAAGCTCAATAAGGCCAGCAACAGCTGGGTTGGGGCAATCTTAGGTACACCTACAGGTTGGTGAGAATGAATGAGAATACACTATGGATAAGAACTTGGCAGTGATGGTTGATGAAAGCTCAACATCAGCTGGTAGTGTGTGCTCACAGCCCAGAAAGCCAAGAGTGCCTTGAGCTGCCTTAAAAGGAGAGAAGCCAGCAAGTCAAAGGAGATGATTCTGCCTCTCTACTCTGCTCTGTAAGACCCCACCTGCAGTTCTGTTTTGATATCCCCATCATAAGTTCCTTCCTCCAACAAAGAGCTGTTGGAGCAAGTCCAAAGGAGGACCATAAAGCTGACAAGCAGACTGGAGCACCTCCCCCACAAACACAGGTAGAGAAAATCCGGGCTCTTCAGCCTGGAGAAGAGAAGGCTGTGTGGAGACATCACAGCAATTTCCAGTATCTGAAGGGAGCCTACAGGGAAGCCAGAGAGAGACTCTTCAGCAGGAGCTGTAATGATAGGACAAGGAGTAATGGCTTCCAACTGAAAAAGAGTTGGTTAGGTTACTTGTCAGAAAGAAATACTTTACCGTGAGGGTGGAACAGTTTGCCCAGAGAATCTGTGCATGCTCCAACCCTGAGTGTTCAAGACCAGTTTGGATGGGGCTTTAAAAAAACTTGTCTAGTGGAAGGTGTCCCTGCCTACAGTAGGGGTTTGGAACTAGATGATCGTTAAGGTTCCTTCCAACCCAAACCATTTTATGATTCCATTATTATTGTTATTATTAGGTAATATTTATGCATAATTGACTGAATTACATTCAGCTTCTAAACACACTTATATAATGAATCTGATTTCCACTGGCAGAATTTTTTTAATTAAAAGAATCTTTTTTGCTGATTTTCATAGTTAAAAATTTATGCAAAAGGGCTTTTTTCATAGATGTTTCCTGATACATACCCTGATAAAGTTACTAGCTTTTTAAAAGCTATCACATTTCTCTTAAGTAAGTAAAGTTTGATTATATCTTCTTGATATTTTATATTGATATTAATACTTACAGTCATGCGACAAAAATACTGCCCTGAGAGAAAATTTGAAAATTTTGATTTATGTAAGTAAACACAAATCTGACCATACACATGAATGCCTTGGGCTTTTAAAGGAGATTTGATCCAGATAGAAAAACATATATATTTCTATTTAATATATAAAATTGAATATATTAAATATTCACAAGATTCATACTCTGTGCTTTAGAAACATGATTATTCTCTTAGTTTCAAAAAATTCTAACTTTGTGAAGTATAGTAAATATTACTTTATATAGATTTTATTTCAAGAAAAAAAAAATCTAGGCCATATCTCTTAATCTCAGAGCCCCTTACAAGAACTTTATAACTGTTTAGACTAGCTAAATAACTTTTTCTACTAATGATTTCTTGGTAACCCATCTGACTAATCCTGTTATGACATTCAAGCTGTTTGCCTAAAATTTAATTTATTTTAATTTTTTTAATAGACTGTATCTGGCTTTCCTCAGAATCCTTTCTTCTTTCATTGTCAGCACTGACATTAGTCAAAGCATCTTTGCCTCAGTTTCCTACTGACATAGCTGACTCCCAGAAGCACAGCAGAGGTAGGGGGCTTAGCTGGACTGTCTGCTTCCTTTCTTTGATTGCTCTAGAAAGTCTGATTCTCCTGCAGTAAAACACCTCTAAGGCTGGGTCCAGCCTCAGTGATATCTGAGTGGTTTTTAACTTGGCCTCACTTCTTTGTATTTATTGCAGCAATTCACTCTGTGGTGGCACCTCTCTGGTTTTGAAAGGACTCATTATTTCAAAAGCTGAGAAAACAGCCCAGCACAGCCAATTAAGTAAAATTCCTAAAGGTACTTCTACAGATAGCCAAGCAGTGAGGAGAAGTGATCAAATTTTCATGAAGGGAAAGATTTCTCAGAATGTGTTCATTTTTGCCTTTACAGAAGTTGGCCTGCCATCACTGTTACCCATTGCCAGCCTTAAGGGAACCTGCTTCATGGTGTAACTTTGCTGGCTCCAGACACAAGGCTGAGATAAATACTGCTGTGTACTGCCAGCAATTGAGAGACAGGACTCCACTTAGGTGCAAGCAAGAAGTCGTTTATTGTAAAGTTGTGAAGTTGTGAAGTCATTTATTCTATCTAAAGCTCGGTTTATATATTCTCGTAGCTTTGAACAAAATTTTCCACTGCCAAGCAATAATCACAATACTAATGTTACTTAGCGATATTGCTTAACCACAATCTTACAGGTGCAGT